TATTTATATCTGATTTATTAATCATAAAGCATGAATAATTTTCAAATAGAAAATTTGTAACTAGTTACATTTGCTTAATATGCTAAACAAATGTGAAGATTTTTTGCTTCACTAACAATTATTCAGATTTAGTTGGCATTATATATTAGAGGTTTGCTTAACATGATGTTAATTAAATGAGCTGTCGATGAGATAATTGTCAGAGAAGTAAGAGGAATCACTAATTACTATGCAATTGAAATTTCTTTATAAGACCTGATCAAATACCCTGAATTAGATTCTATTGTATAAAAAATTACCTAAATATATAATCATTATTATAATGTAGTCATAAAATAATACAAATGCTTTTATAGAAGTTTATATCAAATTTTTATAATTTAAGAAATAAATTATATGGCTGCTCATTTTTTTATAGAAGTTATATTTGGTTACCTTCTTCGATAGATTATATATCAGTTATTAGATTTTATTAAAGGTTTTAGCCTTTTAAATTAAATGTTAACCAGAAATAACCACTAATAGTAGAGATTGAACTGCCTAAAATCTTCTAACAGTTTGACTGTTTATTCATATTAACCGTTTAACCATTTAAATCTGGCCAATATTAATATAAAGTTTCTTGTCAGGCTGACCAATCAAAATTCATTATTAGTAGATCTACCAGTAGCTACCACCTACCGGTAGCTACTGTTAGAATCATAAAAATTTGATAGAATCTCCATCACTAAGCATATCACTAGACATAATTATGTATTAAAATTCTATAATATGATTGATTAATAATATATATTTGATTTTTATTAATTTTTATTGAAAATTTTAAATGTTTTAAAACATGGTGTTTTAAAAAATTTGCCATCTCTAACTTGTATATGTGATATAATGCTATGAAACTCTTAAGCTGAGTACTCATATAACTTAATTTAAAGATAACTTATGATGATAATAATTAGTTTAATCTTATAAATAAATTAGTAAAGATCTAGCCAATAAAATTGCCGAATTTAAGTTTGTGTAACTTCTGCTTTTAAATGACCAAATGATAAATGACTTGGTTATTATTTTGGTTATTTAAAATCAAATAACCAGTTATTTGCCAACACTGGTTTATAGCATGTGGCCCAGATATCTATAATTATTGCTTAACAGATTGGAACTCACCATGGCAAGGGTACTCTAATATGTATTACTGTATAACATATCAAAATATAATTATTTAGCACTTGTTTATATATTTGATTGAAAAATTGATTAAGAAACTGATCAATAATTTATCGGCTATAGCCGGCTACTAGTCAATAGTCGATAATAGCTAACCAATAGCTGACCATACCCATCCCTACTCATGATCGATCTGAGATTAAATGCTGCACCAATATTTTCATATCAGATAGCTATTAATATTATTTTGCATTATGTTGTTAGACCCAAAACCGGCGAGTCTGTCGCTAAATCGAAAGTAGGTCTGTGTAACCAAAACTTAGGTTACGTAGGGTCAAAAGAGGCGTGTTAGATTTAGTCGAGTGGTTTATAAACGAATATATGTAGCTAGTATAGCATGTTTATATTACTTAGGTACTTTATTATTTACTTAAAACGGGTCTTGTTATTTCCGAAGGGCCAAAGGCCTTTATTTATAATTTTTAATTCTATTATTTATATTCCTAGGAATTCTCCATATCCCAAATATTATCAATAAACCCATTATCAGCTTTATAGTCCATATCCGCCATTTCACCCAAATAATCCTGATCCTCCAGATCTGGCGGTAATGATGCTGCCCGAAACTAATTTGAGCCAATGACCGAAACCGAAACTTCATCACATTGCCTGAAACTAAAACCTGAATGCCCGAAACTATACCAAAATTCCGAAACTATGCCAAAATTCCGAAACTTTTCCGAAACTAAGTTTATATGTAAAGTATAAGAAAATCTGTCTTATACTTAATTTAACATAAACAAATTTTACTTCTTTGACAACCAATTCTCTAAAAATCACTTTCTAACACCGACACCTTTCTGACACAACCACTTTCCGGCAACTGCCATTTCCCTTTTCCAACAACCATTTTTTCAACAAACCTTCCCAACAAAACTACTTACCCGATAACTACCCATTCCCAACAACTAATTATCTGACAACAATCACATCCTTAACAATTAATACAACCTGACAACACCTTTATCTTGACAACCTCAACAATACCCAAAATCTCTGATAATTGCCACGTTCCCGGCAATTACTTTTTACCCGACAGCCACACTTCCAATGCCATTCGCTGCTTCAACAACACAATTACTTTTCTGACAACACTTTTCCAACAACCTTTCCCTCTAACTATTCCCAACACAACACTTATTACCACGATACTATTTAACTAATGCATATTTAGGTTATTAAAAAATAAAATTTTTAAATAAAAATCAAAAATTAAATAAATTATAAAAAAAAAAAGTTAAATAATTTTGCCGGCCAACCAAATTTTAAGATCACATATATAATATAAAGCCTGTAACTCAAAATTTATGCATAATACTATATATATAGTAACTTTTGAGTTACAAACTTTACATTACATATGATCTTAAAATTTGGTGGCCGGAAAATTGGATTTTATATTTTTTTTACAGCTGTTTTTCATTATTCCTGGGATACCTATAAAAAATTAGCCGAATGATTTTCGGCTGATAAGTTAGATACGGTCAATAATTCGTCGATTGGATTAAAAATTCAACTAAAGTCAAGATTCCAAAAAATCAAATATATGGGAGAATCTCTGGAGACTTATTGAGCGTGTAAGGATTCAGAATATAAGAGTTATAATTCTCTGGATCTTTTCATGACTTAATTAATATTTGCGTTAAAAATTATGATCAACAAAATCGAAGCGAAACAGTAGATCTAACAATTAAAGATTCTCTAGAATCTTTATCATTCACTTTTGAGTTATCTGACTTGTCTGAAGTGACTGCAACTGATTCAGAAATTAATAGTAAAAAAGATCCTAAATTGCATATAAATTTTTAAAGTTTATAAATAAAAATATGTATAAATATATTAAATATTACCTTCTTGTGCGTATATCCAAGTCTTGTAAGACTAATGTTACGTCCCAACCAAAGTTCCATCTCGGATTGTAATTCAAACAAGTACCAGTCAGGTTTTTCTTTCATTAAAACTTTAAGATAATTTATATCATTCACGTTCAAAGAACATGGTTTTTCTGAAAGTGATGGAAGCTTTCAATACAACCATATCTTTGAAAATACAAGAACCCGACTTATAGAAGACATGCTAACACCTAAGCGTTCTGCAATTTTTTGAGTTGGTAGGCCTTCTAAATTTTTTTCAATAATTTGTTCGCGAAAGTAGTTTGAAAGTATCATACTTTTTGAATTCAAGCATAATTTTATATTTATATTATCTACCTGATTTTAAATTACGTCAATTTTATTGAATAACTTATCAGGTGTTCCAGGAATAATGAAAACAGCTATAACTTATATATATATATTTTTACTTAATGGCCGATTTTTTTTTTTTAGCTATTATTTATCTTATTTTAAGCGATTTTTTTTATTTAAGTTAATTTAAAGAATTTTTTTTAAGAAGACGATTGTTTTTTTTTTAATTTAAACTACTATTGTTTTTTTAAAAAATTAACTTATATATACAATGTTTTTGGTAATTTGTATATTTTATTTTACAATTATTTTTTACAAGTTGTAATCTAAATCTAAAACTATCTAAAATATCTAAAATTCATTACAGGAAAAAAAAAAGCCTAATATATTTAAGAGTAGTAGTAGTAACGGAGAAGAGTGATGATGGGAAAGGGTAGTATCGGAGAAGGGTGGTGTTGGGGAAGGGTGGTGTTAGGAAAGGGTTGTATTGAAGATTGGTCTTGAGAAAGGGTGGTGTTAGACAAGGGTTGTATCAAAGAGTGGTCTTGGGGAAGGGTAGTTTCGGGGAAGGGAAAGGATAGTTATTGGGGAAGTAATGGTTATCGGTAAGTGGATGTGTAGAAAGCAGGTTGTGTTGGGGAAGGGGTTATCGGAGAAGAGGTTGCATCGAAGAAGTGATTGTCGGGAACAAAAATATAAGTTGACATAGTAAAAAATGTCGAATTCACAAGCTTAATGATCATTCCGGCCACTTTGACATAGATTGATTATCGTTATACGGTAACTATCAAGATACACTATTTGAGTGATGGGAAGAGAAAATATGTACTCATAATCATTGCAGTGAATTCGCCCCATTCTACCCTTGAGGAGTCATGATGATAATGAGCGAAATGATTTACAGGTTTTCTCTTTCTGTTACTTATTTAGAATCTTCTCAATCAGTGGTCTTTATTTTGATCTATCGTAACAATTGAGCGTCACTACACAATCGTTAGAAAATCACAGTAACAGTAGTTTTTGAACATATCTCAATAATATCGTCATTTGTATTATTGACTTTATTCAAAATGCTATTACAATAGCTAAAATTACATCATAATGCTTATGCACTATTTCGATTGCTATGAAATCACATCTGGGTTAATGATTGAGAACCTTTTTATTAGTTAATCAGGTATCAGAATTTCGGCATAGTTTGCAGTTTCGAACTTTCAGTTAAGTTTAGCAAAGTTTCGGTTTGGAGGGCAACGTCCGAAACTGGTAATACCAGTTTCGGTTTCGGTCAACCCAAAATTATTAAGTTTCGGGCAGCATCATTATCTGGTGGTTTTGACATATCCCGGATATCTGGCAGATCTGGCAAATCTGAGCAGAAAACTCAAATTAAGATTTACTGAGTCATGTAGTCATGTGCCTGCCGTCAGATCACGTTTCCAGTCTTACATTTCTCCCTCGCTTGCTTTATACCTCTAGGTATAAAATTCGGATGACATACGGGCAGAGGTCAGGTCAGAGCTTCCTTCTAACTAGTAATAGCTTTCCTCTGGGATTGAAGATATGAGAGCATGACCATTGCATTAGTAGGTATCAGGCAGTTTTACATTTTATTGTTCCGATTATGGTCATTCTTCCAACAAACATTTCTGACCATGGGTTCTTCTTATTTTTAGGTCTGGAAGTACACGACATTTCTTCAGTTTGGGGGCTATTGGCAGTATCGAGTACTTCATCTCTTTCGATTCTAATTTCACTTATGCGGCCGCATTCAATTGCTTCGTCAATCTCTGTAGACTTTCTGAATGCCTTAGATTCATCTTTAACTCTGGTTCGTTTATCCATTTCAGTTTCAATTTCGGTCGGTCTTTTATAATCTTTAAACACTTTGTGTTTATCCTTTTCGACTTGTGTTTCTTCAGCAAGACAAACATCGCTTACCATATCAGCTGGGTCTTTATAATGTTCGAATGCCTTGCGTTTTTCTTTTTCACCATCCATTTCTTTCCGCAACCATCATTAGGAGGCAACTTTCTATTGCCAACTTAATTTTGCCATTTCTTCTCCTTGTGCAGTACTTATTTACATGCCAGCACTAGGCTTATTTACGTGACTTACAGGTCCCTTGAAATCGACTTCTACTTGTCAGCAATGGGTCTTCTTTTTAATGGGTTTGTCGGGAGGTTTTGGTGCAGTTCATTAGTTTCTTTAGCCAAATTTTCTAGCCGGTACATTGGCTTCAATGCTTTGAACTCAGTATGTCAGTCTAAGCGAGTACAAATTCTTGCTGATTCAACTTCTTCGAATCTCACGGTTCACCACCAAAATGTCAGACCTGGAACTGGTGAGTCTATCGCTAAATCGAAAGTAGGTCTGTATAACAAAAACTTAGGTTACCTAGGGTCGAAAGAGGTGTGTTAAATTTAGTTGAGTGTTTTATAAATGAATGTATGTAGTTAGTATGGCATGTTTATATTACTTAGATACTTTATTATTTACTTAAAGTGGGTTTTGTTATTCCTGAAGGTCAAAGGCCTTTATTTATAATTGCTAATTCTATTATTTATATTTCCAGGAATTCCCCCATATCTCAAATATCATCAATAAACCCATTATCAGCCTTATAGTTCATATCCGCCATTTCACCCAAATAATCCTGATCCTCCAGATCTGGCGGTTCTGACATATCCCGGATATCTGGCAGATCTGGGCGGGAAACCCGAATTAAGATTTACCGAGTCACGTGGTCACGTGCCTGCTGCCAGATCACATTTCCGGTCTCACAACATAATTTAGGGTGTCCAGGATTATTCGATGCGATAGGGTCAATTATGCGATGCGATTGGGGTCAATTATGCGATGGATGCAAAATAATTATAAATTTATGCGAAATATTTAAATAGAGGATGCGATTTTTAATAAAAGATGCGATTAATTTTATAGCATAATTTACTCTTATTCTTCGGAAATTTTTGTTTGTTTACTAAAAAATTTACCTCAACCATGCTCGTAATTTAGGTTCATTCATTTTCTACATCGGAATGTTTCGGAATTTATTCCTCATCCAAATAACACACCCCAAGTATTCACATCAACCAATCATATTCGAGACATGTGATATGGATGCGTTTTTTGCGACGCATCCGCAGATGCAGAAATTTGTTAAATTATGCGCATACTATGCATTCGCATAATCCTGGACACCCTAACGTAACTACCCAAGAACACCACCAAAAATTAGCCAATCAGAATTTGAGATCAGGTGTAACGTGAAATCAAAACAATCAAATTTAGAGTAATAAAGCCTTTAACATTAGGTTTGCGTTAGTGTAAAGTTAGGACAAGGTTATAGCAGTAGTTTATACTAAAATTTGATAAGGGATTTTTTTTGTTAAAATACAAAAGATGGTTTCTTATTTGGCTTTTTGAGAAACAAGCAAATTTTGACAAAGCGATGAATTTTCATGGTCGTGTAACGTTACACCTGATCTTGAGGTTGCGTGGTGTTCTTGGGGTAGTTTCACAACGTAACCACGACGTAATACAGTATATAATTACTTGGTAGTAACAATTTTTTTACATTTACTACACGCCCACTACTATTAATTTTCCTAGTTTAAACGTTAATGTTATTATATAATTATTTTATAATTACTATACATTTACTATATATTAGCTAAACTTTGGTTTACTTTTTTTACAAAATAACACCAAATTTATCTATTCAGCCTCGCTAGAAATCAACATTAGATAATTTTAAAATGCATTTTATTCTTTTATTAACGAATAATACACTTTCTCAATTGATAAACATCGCTAAAATTATTGTCAACATTAAGACGATTCGAATTGTATCAAAATTATGGAAACTACTTTACAGAATCTTTATATTTTTTAAAATATGATAATAATATAATTATTATATAATTAATATATATTTATTGTATAAATTTTTAA